GGTTGTTTTATGATTTGAAACTAGTCAAATATTTGCCAATTTATTTTTTTTTGTTTGATTTTCTTCATTATATTTTTGTGCGACTAGCAGAAAGTTAAATTTCAAAAAGCCCGCGCTAAGCGGCCATATTGAATTTTAGTACCACTCCAATTTGATAGATGGCAGCACATCGACTCAGAATATTACCATTGAGTTTCCCATCTATTCACATTAGTAATATATGCTCTTAAGTTTCCAAAATTTATAAAAAACTTAAAGCAAAAAAGTTTTAGGACATTTTCTTAAGGTCGTGGGCTGCTAACTCATTTTGGCATTAAGGGATTTATGTCAAATTCGGTCCAAAACTACAAAACAATATTACTAATAAGCATGAGCGCCGCCAGAACTTTTTTCAGGGAATGCAAAATTATGAATTCTTTAAAACAAATTACAGAAATATAGGGATTTATAGACGCTATCCGCTATCGTGTAATACGATACGATACGAAATATAATGAGCTTAGGCGTGGTTGTCAAATGCTGCCTAATTTACGGTTTTATGGGATTAGATACTTTAAAAAATATACCGAAAATCCAGAGCGAAAACCCGATATATAAAATTTAGTTATTTTTGTTCTTTTAATTACAAATAAATACTTTTGATTGTTTGCGTTTATAGTTTATTTTGAGGTGTGGATCTGGATCCCACTCTTGATTATGGAACGCACCTTGACATCGGAAGTTGTCAGCTGTCAATGACGTGGACACACACGTCAGAGACTCGACGAAGCCAACGACATTATTAACAAGTTGTATGATCGTTCATAATAAAATATAAAACTACAAAGTGTTTTATTAATAATAATTATTATCATACAGAATAATACAGTTTATAGTACATATTACTTATAACGATTAAACGAATTGCTTTATTTTTTTTTTCTAAATTTTAGTTTGTTATAGATGAACTGAAATAAAGATATCAAATTATCAAATTTTCATTCTATTCATTAATAAAGAGTTTCGAAAAAAAAAAGATCTTTACACATATATCGATTTTAAATTGTTAGCGGCGGAACCGGACAATCGCATCTATTTATGGACTATAAATAATTATTAAACATGTATTATAATATCGAAATCATATTTCTACAAAATTTCAACAGCTATTTACAATTTGTTAAACTATTTACTCGAAATTGTTAATAACATCTATAAAATAATTTTGTACGCCTATGTATCGCGTCCACTTCAGTTAGATCCACCGCAAACCTGTATAAAGTGGGAGAACTGGCAAAAGCCTTTCCAACTTCTACCCCTGCTCTACGAAATTTCACAAAACACTCGATACAATCTATTATTATCAGTTAAGCTTATGCCCCAATAATTGTTCGACAGAAGTTGCTATTTTATAATAATAATTGTACCAAATTTAAAGTTAATCGGCAAACTAGAAAAAAGTTATTAAAAAAAAATTATAAAACATTTTTTTGACACCCTGTAATTTCGCTATTTTTGAGTTTTCAAAAATTATTTTGGACACCCAACTATTATTATTTTTATAATTTTAAATAAGGTGTATGGTTGCAACTATGTAAATCGCAACCCCCCTTAGAAATCTCACCTTTACAATCAGCAGCTGTTGTTTGACAGGTCATTGGAGAATGTTTGCAATGTATGGAATGTTATTAATGTTAGACGTTAGGAATGCTTGGAATGCGTAAAATTAATCACATAAGAAATTCATGGGAGGATTTTAGGAAAATTAATATTAAAGTAGTTAGGATGAACCAAAAATTCTGAAATTCAATAGGGATCTAAGTTAGAAGCAATTATTCAAGAAAATCAAAACCGCAAGTCAATCAAAACTTTCGTTCTAGATTTATCGTGCCGGCATACATACGCACAGACGACCAGACGAAAAATTTTTTTTGCATTTTCGGACTCAGAGTGATCGGAAATGTGAAAAAAAGTTTAAAAAATGGGGGTAAGAAAATTTTTTCGTCTGCACGAATTCAATACTGAGGTCCCATAGGAAGGGCCCCAGTAATAATATCATTAATTTCATTTTTAACAACTGAATTGAAGAAAAATGCGAAGTTTGAAAATTTAGGAACTGTACAAGTGTACAACTCTGTGATCTAGCATCGCCATAGTAAAAAAGTCTAGTAGAAAAAATCACCAAAAATCAAAAACATTTGTATTACTTATACTCGTATTTAAAGCTAACGATTTTGTTTTTTACAGTTTCCAGGTTTACACTATTCCAAACCGTATCTTTTTATTAGAGTTTTCTTTTTAATCAATTTTATTTTAGTACTTTTAAGAAAATTATTATAAGTATAAGCCTGTAGTAGTTTGGGAGTCACTAATTTGTAAGTTTTTTGGTTAATCATAATAGCTATTTATGAAACCAGTTATGAAATGCTTTACTTTATGTAACGAGTGAATATTTGCGGGACGAGTAGAGCGAGTTACATACAATATGTTTTGTAATTTTAACTAGATTATTTATAAAATTATGTTTTGATAAAAACTATTTTCTTGTTAGTTGCACATAATTAACTTTATTATTTTATTGACAAATAGACAATCATATTCAGATATTTATATTTCTTGATAAAATTATTTATATTTCAAAAAAGTGGATTATTTTGTCGTGTATTGTGTTTTAATTATTTTGTGCTGATTTAGAATGGATATAAGGACCAAAAGAACATTATTACTAGGTTGTAAGTTTAGCTAAATTCTATTATTTGATCTAAACTTTCAATACAAACAAAAAATAGTTTTATTTATATTTCTTTTCTTTTCGCATCTAGTAACAAGAAATTTTTCGAAACCAGTGTCATAATATTCAACATAATGCAACTAGTTGCGTAAAGTAGATCAGTTTGACATTTTCTTCGATTACGAAAAATGTCAAAATTAAAAAAAATAATTTTTGAAATCCTGGCTTACCTTATTTTGGTCAAAATATTTTAGTATGTAATATTTATCAACCATGTAAATGGTAATGTTGATGAAAATCTGAAAACTAGTATCGGCAGGAATAACATAGATTTTACTAAAATAAAATTTACACATAGAAGCACTAAAGTTTTTTTTTTAATTTTGATCATAAATATTTCAAAAGAATTTATTAACAATTTTATTAATACTTTTTGGTGTCTTATAAATGTTAAACGAATAATTTAAATATAGCACTGACTTTGACACTATGACACTTTCGCACATGTCACTATGACGCAACTGTACTTATTTAAGGTATTTTTTAGCGAGTGTATGGTTTAAAATATTTTCGACTGTTTTAAACCGTTTAAATTTTAGTGATGCAACTATGACGTCGCGTACGAAATATTTTAAACCAAAGCTAGAATTTTTGAACCAGTCGGAGGCATATGGTTCAATAACGGTTGACACATAAGAGATTCTGATTGTGGCTGTTGTATGTTGTTTTGCTCTGTTCCATCTTTGAACATTTTGATATATTTGACGTTTTGTTGATTTTTATTGATTTTTGATAACTTCATACATATATTATATGATTCATATTCATGCATTAATTGGTTATAATGTTTTAATACAAATATTAATATTTATGGTCATCATAAACAGTTGGACAATGTGATCTACCTATGGGTTACTCTTGATTATGAAACAATAATTCAATTAAAGTAAGGTTAAAGGATTACTTATCAATTGTACGTTTTTTACAAAAATAATTACGTAGTTTGCTTCAGATTCTGAATTTGCCAGCAAATATTTAAAAGCAATTAAACGTTCTTTGGCAGTTGATGAACTTTGGAAAAGCCCAACAAATCTACATAGCAAGCAAATAATCGTTAGACAATCGCGTATCTGTGGAACTACGGAATAAATATGATACCATATGTTTACTGACAAGAAAAATACCAAAAATAAAATAATAACGTTTCAGATTCCAATGTACCTATTAAAAACACTTCAATTTTTACTAAAAATCGCTATCAAACACTTATCTTCCTTCATCTGATTTAACAATCATTAAAAAAAAAACGATCAAAAAAATTTTGTCATATGACAGCAGATTATATTTTTAAAACACCCTATTTTTTCCATCTATTAATTCATGACGTCACTTTAAATATGGTTTAAAAAATATTTTAAACCAATGTGGTGGCTAAAAAACAGCTTCATTTAAACAGAATGGTTCCCGGAAAATTGGTCTAAAAAAATTGTGTCTAAAACATTTATTGTAATATCAATTGATCTAAATACATTTTATTTAAAAACCAATTGGTCTAATATGTATTTTATCTAACATATCTCTTTATCTAAAGTGGAGTATAGGCAGTATACCTAAAAGATCATTGGTCTAAATTACATTTGTTCTAAACTAAAAAAGTTAGAAATTGAAGCAACCGGCAATGACTCTATGCCGCACAAGTTAGGTAAATTGGTTAAGTTTTGTTAATTTATCTTATTTTATGTATATTAGGTTAGGTAAAGCAGTATTATTTAGAAAAAAATAAAAAAAACAACTTATTTACCAAACCTGTGCAACCTGGAGCCTTCGCGGTATAGATCCGCAAATTCAATAGTTTTGAATCATTTTATTGTTTCATAATGTTCTAATGTTTTAGAACAAATGTATTTTAAAGCCATTGTATTTAGATTTAATTTATTTTATATCAAATAATGTGTTTTAGATCAAAATGTATTTTAGACCATCTGTGTTTAAGCCATTAGATCAAATTGTTATAGACCACTTTTTAGACCAATTTTCCGTGAACCGAAAAGGAATATATCTAATATTTTTGAAAAAAATAAAAACTAAAAAGAAGCAAAGCATCCGGATGCCCCCTAATATCTTAGTAGCTCAAATTGGGTGGTCCAAATCGAACCGTCTGACCGAAAAAATGCACATTTTAACTATTTTAATCTTATCTTAAGTGCATCGACATCTCCCTACCTATTCATTTCTTCCTTTATGAATAACCTTAAAGATAATAATCTTGTAAGAAATGTCATTCTGTTGGTCTCTTAGGAGAAAGTACCTACATGGATATAAACTCCTAGACCTGATAACGTGCGTCCCAGTCTTAGTGCATACCTGCAGCTCGAATAGAATAATTATTATATTATTGTGTAATATGAATAAAGTGACAGTGATTTTTTTGTCGTTAACGATTTTTTCATACGTTAGTAGTCAAGGACTGTCGCGCAATGGGCTGACTGGAAGGAATTACATGGAAAAACAGTTGCTTTGTGCTTTGGAAAAGGGACCTTGCGATGTTTTGGGATCGCAAATTAAAGGTATGATTTTTTATTTGGTTGTATGTGTGTGGGGATGGTTTGGAATCAGATCAACGTCCATTTGTCACAAATAATTTTTTTTATAATCTGATGTATGGAGAGTTTACAGCGAAAACTCGATATATAAGAAAATTTTATTAGGAAGATATTGGCATTTAAATATTTTTTGTTATTGGTCTCTTTTTAATACAAATTAAATGCATTTGGTTGGTGGCCTGCATTAATTTATAGAAAATATAACGAATTTTTTTTCTAAATCGACATTTGCTTTAGTTATATCTAAATTAAGACAGTAAGCCATCGACTTATCGGACTTTTGCTATACTGATTTTATTAAAGAATTCTAAAAAGTTATTATTCCGTAATTATTGTTATTTTAGTTTAAGAGCCCTGAAAAAAGTTAAACTTAGGAATTTATATATTAATTAAAAAAATTCTTAATTTTTTCCTAATTATCTGTTTTTGCCCTATACTTACCTGAATAAATTCGATCTTTATTCATATTTCGGTTTTTCGGAATGCCCGCGCAATTTCACAGTATTAATTAACAAAAAAATTCCCAAAAACTGTGTTGGATGTTATAAGTATAGTATTAAGTATACAGGGTGCACTTAAAAGTTCCACACCCAGGGGAATAAGGGGGTATCTTCATTATTCTTTGAGATGTCGGAATAATTTTTGTTTTGTTTTAAAGGCTGGAACAAATACTTTTTTTTTGCTTAGGATTGTATGACTACGAAAATTCGGTTCATTCGCCTATTTTGCGGATATTGTCGATTTTGCTCATTTTTTACATTTACAAGTTCTACAAATATTACCTATTTACATATATTTTTTTATTACATATTATATATACATTTTGTGTTCTTATTTTTTTGTTTTGTTTATTTTTTTTAATTCCTTTACAAAATACTTTCTTAAGATAGTTTCAATTATTATGTGACGTCATAACTTACTTCCGGTTTTTCCGGAAATAACAAAAAATCGCAATTTATTTTTAAATTGAAACCCACTCTTTTTATTGTAAATTTGAATTTCTGGGTCATTTTTGTATAATAATCGTGTATTAAAAATTTTCTGGCAGCTGTCAAAATGGCCGCCATATTGGATAATATTTTTAACCGACTTCAAAAAAGGAGGAGGTTATCAATTCGTCGCAATATTTTTTTTATGTATGTTCAGCGATTATTCATTAACACGGTGTCCGATTTTAATGACTCTTTTTTTGTTAGAAAGGGGTGGTCCCATATAAATTTAGTCAAAATCTAATAATTGGGTCTATGAGAAAATCCTCAAACTTTTCATTTTTTATGTATGTTTAGCGATAATGCTTTACCACCTTGTCCGATTTATATGATCCTTTTTTTGTTAGTAAGGGGTACCTCAGGGGTGGTCCCATATAAATTTGGTTAAGATATGGTGATGGCATCTGCACGTTTTTGAAGTCTGTTTTTTTAAATTTTTAATTTCTAATACTTGTGTTATTTCTAAACATGTTACTATTAATTCGTTTATGGAAAAAATATGGGAATGCATGATCTCTACAAAATCATTGTAAACTTCAAAATTTCTATTGAGACCCAGTGGGCATCTAAGCATTTTTACTTTCCTATCTGTATACAGATAAGAAAAGTATAGGAATCATGATTTTTTTCGACCTCCAGTTTTCGACGGATTTTTACGTTTTGGGGTCCCCTGAATCCGCTTTGACTATTTTCGGGATGATGTCTGTGTGTGTGTGTGTCTGTATCCACCATAACTCATGAACCGATACAAAGAAAAACACCAAATTTTAAACTTAAGCTTTATACCGGCGTCCAATGAACTGATTAGATTTTCGGCAGAGTCGGAACATCTGGGGGGTGGTCATTTTTATATTTTATGGAATATATCTGTTATTTACGTTTGGAGAAGAAAATTTTTCAAATAAAAGTTACTTATAATATTATTATCTACAATTTTTGTACTATACAAAATTTTCCTAAAATGGTATGTATTCGAGAAATCTGACAAAATGTAAAAATATAATTTTTCATAAAAATTGTTCAAATAAAAGTTGTTTGTGATATAATTCTCTATAATTTTTATCCTATACATAATTTCTCTAAAATGGACCGTATTCGAGATATTTAAGAAAATGTGTAAATTTCGAATTTTGAAGAAAACTCAAAAACAGATATAGGAAAAACATTAAATTTTAAACTTAAGTTTTACTTCCGCTTAATCTTATCATTTCACATAAGATTTTGGACAAAGTCGGAACATCTGGGGGGTACTTTATGGGAGGTCGTTTTTATATTTTATGGAATATATCTGTTATTTATGTTTGGAGAAGAAAATTGTTTAAATAAAAATTACTTCTAATATTATCTATAATTTTTGTTATATGCCAAATTTTCCTGAAATGGTCCGTATTCGAGAAATTGGACAGAATGTGCAAAATTCGAATTTTTAAGAAAATTGTTAAACTAAAAGTTGTTTTCGATATCGATCTCTATAATTTTTTTTTTACATGATTTTTCTAAAATGGACCGTAATAGAAAAATTGGAGGAATAGTGCTAAATTTAAATTTGTCAGTATTTTCGTTTTCAATGAATATCTATAGAAAAATGTTTCGAGTTATATGTATGTGGAAAGTGTATATATTTAGTTTATCCTCTAAACATTTACAGAGGTGCTGCAATAGGTTGTACACCGAAAAAAGCCTATAATAATTAGATAGGAAAGTCATGTGTTAGACACATCAGATTTTTATTATTAGCAAACCGTTTAATAATTCCATCCGCTTTTATCTTTGTTGTTGATTGAGATATCGGAATGAAAATTTTTTTGTTTAAAAGCTTGGAACAAATACTGTCATATATTGGGTTCAACTGGTCTGTGACGTCATGGTTTACTTCCGGTTTTTCAAAAATAACAGAAAATCGCAATTTATTTTTAATTAGAAACCCCCTTTTTTATTGAAAATTTGATTTTCAGGGACATTTCTAGATAAGAATCGCGTGCCGAAAATTTTATGTCAGCTGTCAAAATGACCGTCATTTTGGATAATATATTTTTTAATATGTTACTGTTAATTCGTTTATGGAAAAGAAATATGCAAATGTATAAAATCTTTGTAAGCTTCACAGTTCCCATTGAGACCCATTTACAGTATACCAGTGGCGTATCTAAGATTTTTTTTATTAACAAACCGTTAAATAATTTCACCACGCTCAAGAAATTTAAATTTTCAATAAAAAAGTGGGTTTTCATTATAAAATTAAAAAAAATACGTGTGGCACTCGAGGACTGCCACAGTAAAGCTATTGCATAGCACCTTATGCAATTATAATTATTTATTTACTTTATTTATGCAGTATTTTTTTTTCTTTGATATTAATTCAAGTTACACTTTTTGAGCGTGGTGACCGATAAGAAAACAATTTTTTTTCTTTTATTGAATAAATGAGAAGTTAATATTGTTTAAAATATTTTTATTTTCTTACAATACATGTAGGTTATTCAGGAATTTTTATCGTTGAAACTATAGGTTTATGGTAACTGAAATAAGAAACATAAGTTTGAGACTTGATATCCTCTAAATATCTGGAAAATACCGCGTCAATGGTGGTCCCATATTTTGTTGTGGATTCCTGTGGATCATTATACATTTTAAAATTAAATTTTTCCGAAATTCTGTCTAAAATGGATCAGTTATGAGCAGTTAGCAGCTAGTCTACACGCATACGTCTAGTCGCACGCACACAAACACCGTGCCGAAGTCTGCCGAACTGAGACGACGTTAGACGATGCACGGCTTTCAACGCCGCACCGCTGTGCCGGTCGGAGTGGGGGGTGTTAGGTTTATTTTCGTTACGGAATTTCCTTTTCGATTTTTCGAGGGTATTAGGTTTATTTTCGTTACGGAATTTCTTGATTCGGTCGCCGCGCTCAAAGCTCGCAATAAAATCTATGCAATAGCTTAATAATGAAATAGTTAACAGTGATAAAATAAAAATTAATATTTTATAAATCTTGCAAAAAAATTAATATCTAATATTTTCGCCAGCCGGGAACATTTGTGATACTAATTTATTAGAAGCCAGAGAAAGCTCTTCTAGTTCTTGTATTGCATAAACGTTCCAGTCCGCAGACGTATATTTAACTCCTTCATACTAATACAAATAGGGTCGGATAAAACCTTCCACGGCTTTCAACACCGCACCGCTGTGCCGGTCGGAGTGGGGGGTGTTATGTTTACTTTCGTTACGGAATTTCTTGATTCGGTAGCCGCGCTCAAAGCCCGCGATAAAAGCTATGCAATAGCTTAAAAATAAATTGCGATTTACTGCTATTTTCGAAAAACCGGAAGTAAGCGATGACGTCACAGATCAATTGAATCAAGTATTTGACTGTATTTATTCCAAGCTTTCAAATAAAAAGTTTTCCGTCGGATATCCTAATTAATAAGGAAAATGAGAGCGGGTGGAATTATTAAACAATCTGTTAATAACAAAAATCTTAGATACGCCACTGGTACACTATAAATGGATTTCAATGGGAACTTTGAGGTTTACAAAGATTTTTTACATCCCCATATTTTTTCCATACACGAATTAACAGTAACATTAAAAAAAATATCCTATAGACGATCATTTTGACAATGGACGGAATTATTAAACAGTTTGCTAATAATGAAAACGCTTAAATACGCCACTGGTGTACTGTAAGCGAGTCTCAATAGGTATTTCGAAGCTTACAATGAATTTATAAAGATCATACATTTCTATAATTTTTTCCATAAACGAATTAATAGTAACATAATTAGAAAAAATATTATCCAATATGGCGACCATTTTGACAGCTGACAGAAAATTTTTAATATACGCTTCTTATCCAAAAATTTCTCAGAAATTCAAATTTTCAATAAAAAAGGGGTGTCGATTTCAAATTAAAAAATAAATTGCTATTTTTCAGTTATATCCGGAAAAATCGGAAGTAAGCCATGACGTCACAGACCAATTGGATCCAGTATATGAAAGTATCTGTTATAAGCTTTTAAACAAAAAAGTTTTCATTCCGATATCTCAATTAACAACGAAGATAAAAGCGGATGGAATTATTAAACGGTTTGCTAATAATAAAAATGCTTAGATATGCCATTGGGTCTCAATAGAAATTTTGAAGTTTACAATGATTTTGTAGAGATCATGTATTCCCATATTTTTTCCATAAACGAATTAATAGTAACATGTTTAGAAAATATATTATCCAATATGGCTGCCATTTTGACAGCTGCCAGAAAATTTTCAATACACGATTAATATACAAAAATGTCCTAGAAATTCAAATTTATAATAAAAAAGTGGGTTTCAATTTAAAAATAAATTGAGATTATCTGTTATTTCCGGAAAAACCGGAAGTAAGCCATGACGTCACAGAATAATTAAATCAATAATTATAATAAAGTATTTGTTCCAAACAAAACAAAAATTATTCCGATATCTCAATGAATAATGAAGATAAGGGGGGGTGGAACTTTTAAGTGGCCCACCCTGTAGTATAGTGGGTATTCTATTTTTATCGATTTTTCGGGTCTTTGTTCTGAACCATCGATATTTAAATGAAATTTTGACACAGTCTATAGGAACTAAGTATTTGTTATTCTACATTAATATATTCCAACTAATTTTATATTTAAATTTTAAGTCAGAACATGTTTCTAATATACCTATATACAGTGTGGATCAGCCAAATGGAATAAATTCAGTATCTCAATTACTGTGCATATTTATAAAAATTCCAAAACAAGTCAATTTTAGATTATAAAATGGCATCCTGCACCATGAAAATTTCACCCTTCGAGTGACAGTTGCAATCCCAAGTTTTTAAATAGGAAGTAGGTGCTTGCGATACCCCATTTAAAAGGTATTTTCATTCGTTATTCAAAAATGCAGTGATTTTCAAATTTATTGCAAAAATTAACAGTGAAAAAATAAATTTATCTGATCGACGAAATTCACTACAACACCCTAAACAATCAATAATTAACAGAGTTTTGTTCTTGATAATGAGTGGGCAAGCAAAAACAATTTTAATGGCCTTTTTCGACGATATTAACAAACAAAAAGACATAAAAAGTTATCAACATTCATCAAAGAGGCCACGCTTAATTTTGTTTAAAACGTCTTAGCGACTTGCTGTGTAACTGCAACTAGGGGTGGTCAAAATAATCGATCTAATAGATATTTTTTTTGAAAAATCGATTCTCCATTAATAGTTTTTTTATTATCTAAATAATCGATTAAGCAATTATCTTCTATTAATCGATTATTTTGACAACCCCTAGTTACAATCACGTAGCAAGTTGCTAATACTTTTTAAATGAAATTAGGAGTGATCACGTTGAAGAATGTTGATAACTTTTTGTCTTTTTGATTGTTAATATCGTCGAAAAAGGCTATTGGAATTATTTTTAATTACCCTCTCATTATCAAGAACGAAAATCTATTAGTTATTAATTGTTTGAGATGTTGTAGTAAAAAGACTTTTCTTATGTAAAGAGGCGAGCGGTCAAATTTTCTAAAACTTTGGCATGTTGTTTTACTCAACCTAGTAACTAAAAGTGTTAATGGGCCCAACTCGATCTTATGACTATTTTAAGTTGAAACTTGCCCAGTTTTTCGAAATTTGTATTATCAAACTTACGAGCTAGATTGAATATATATTGCATACACACGTTTACTACTTGTTGTAGTAAGACATTAGTAGATACGTACAATTAAAAATATTTTAAATTACAGGGTGATTCACAAATGTATGACAGTAGTTATTTGCAAAATCTCAGTAATTCTACTATGACGTTAGGGAAGCATATTTTCAAAAAGTACTACTCAATTTGGTATTTTGGCGACAAAATATTGCAGAGAACACATTTTTTATACAGGGTGTTTTATAGAGAGAACCACAACATTAAATAATTTGTTTAAGAATTAATTCCAAACCCTGTATTTATGAATTTATTTTTGGGCAAAGGTAATACCACTAGAATATGTGTACCTCTAAGCTTCGAAATATACAAGTTGATTTATTTATTGGAAAGTATTCTATTTTAAGAAAAGTGCAAAAATCATGAATACCCTGTATTGTCAAAAATGTAACCATTTTCTTAATATATAATATTTTTAACATTGTTTTAACAGGTATGAATTTTAAATCCGATACTTTGGCCAGTTTTCAAGATACTGATTTTACCCAGTAAACCACAAATAGTCGGCATTCGCTCAGCCTGACACCGGCATGTACGCGAAGCTGAGTTCTCGGATTGCCGTTGTCGGCGTTTCTTCTGAGCCGTACCATTTGACGTAATTTAGAAGTAGAAACCGCATGTGGTCCATATTTGGCGTTCCAGACATGGGAAGCATCCTTACGGACCAAACGCGCTTAATATTTGGCTAGCCGGGCATGGGAGGCATCCTTACGGGCCGAATTATAGATACATGAACGCGGCTACAATTTAGTGGGCTGCCGACATTCGGCTGGGCGAACATGCCCTACCTTTCTGCCGAAGCCTCACCCGTATATCAGGCCGAATCCGGCAAGCCTCCTTCGGCCCAGTTACGGTGCCGATTAAACTGTTTATTGGGTAGTTATTTTTTTTTTAAACTGAAAAGCTCGTTTGATTTTATGGATCATATAAGTTTAATATAAGTTTTGGTCAGATGTCCATGGGACGGTTTAAAATATTTAAAAAAACAGGATGATTCACGAATAAACAACAATATATTTTTACGAACACTCAATAATTTTGCAGTTGCGCCACAGAGAAATTATTTCATTAAGTTATTATCTACCCATTCACAATTTTGAGGTCAAAAGTTTTTGCTGTGTACTTTTTATACAGGGTGAGCCATGAAGATATCCACCAATAATATATGTTTTGAAATTATTAAAAAGAGCCCTTGCATTTATTTAACGACTTTTGAGTAATTTAATAACATTGCATTAGATACAAAATCATTTTATATACAATACAATCAGAGCTGGGCAGAGTACTGCGTTAAAGTACTCATAAGTACTTCGCAATGAATAGCTTTGCAATGAATAGTACTCGAAGCAAATGAGTACTTTTGCAAATTTTAGAAAGTACTCGTCAAAAAATCGAGTAAGAGTATTTTTTTAAATAATTCTAGTTAGTGACTTAAGTTTAGAAAAAAGAATTATAGTAATTAGTAATAGTAATTAAGTCAGTAAGTTACAAAAAAACTTATCTTCTATAAATTAGTTAGCACTTGCCATTAACGTGTACCCCCAATCTTTCCGTTTTAATGTTAAAGTAAAGTAATAAAAGTATTAGGTAGGGGCAGAAGTACAGACGGAAAATACTCAAAAGAACAGTCATATATTTTAAAAGGTATATACACGCGTATATTGTCATAATTGACATATGTTCTTGTTTTTCGTCCTGTATACTTGGCATCGATAAATTATTCGGAATTGCGTTAGGGTTATGACGGCGATGGTAGTGGGATTTTGAAAATTAATGAAATTGTCAGATAGATTTTGGGATGGTTGTCAGAGGGTTTTAGAACTGTTAGCTGGAAAATTTAAAAAATAGTCAGAAAATATTATATTGAAGATTTTATCTTAGGGATATAATACAAAAAGGATTAAAATAAAGAAAGATGGAGAAAGTTTTATTTAAATTGAAGATAAGCGTAAATCGAATAGCAGGAAGAACTTATTAGCAAGAAAAAGAGTTCAACAGAAGGAGTAAAAGGAGAAAGTAGAGAAAAACAGCCATAGAAGACCAGGCAGGAGAACAAGAGGTATAGAAAATGAGGAGTAAGAGCAGAAAGCAGAATAACAGGGAACAAGAAAAAAAAAAACGGAACCGAAAATTTCGATTTTTTTTTTCAAATTCAGAATGTATCGAGTATACTTAGTTTTTTTGAAATTTTTGTAGAAAGCCAAAGGAGCCACAACCCTTAAAGCTGTGAGATATTGGAATGGTTTAACCTTTCCGAGGTGAAACCATTATAAAATATATGCGCGCGTCGGTACTCGTTAGCTGTAGGAATCAGAAGTACTGAGTCTCTAAAACGTAAAGTACTCGAAATGTTTCGAGTATGAGTCCCATCAGGATGAAAATACTTACGAGTACCAATTACTGAGTACTTTGAGTACTCGAGTACAATTTACTCAAGTACTGTCCAGCTCTGAATAAAATACAATATTTTTTCTAATTTTGACTAGATTATTAATAACATTGTGTTTTGGTAAAAAATTACTGACATCTAGGCAACCAATATTACTACTTTCTTGTATTGTTAGTTGCATATAATTACCTTCATTCTTTCATTACCAAATAGAATCATATTCATTTATTCTCAACGACTTATTGTTGTGTGTTTATATTGTTTGTTAAAGTTATTTAAATTTCAATAAAGTGGGTTATTTTTTCATGTATTGTGTTTTAATTATTTTGTGCCGATTTTGAATGGAAAATAAGGACCAAAACAACATTATTACTAGGTTGTCAGTTTAACCAAATTCTATTTTTATAAGTCAACCTGCCCTTATTTGATATAAACTTTCAATAATAATGTATATTATTGATTTTAAAACCAATAAAAGTATTGTTTTCTTTTCGCAACTAGTGCCATAATACATTTTTCGAAACCAGTTCAACATTATGCAACTGTTTGTGTAAAGTAGATCATTTTGACACTTGCTACGATTACAAAAAATGTCACTTTATATGTCAAAATTAGAAAAAAATATTTATTATACATTTCAGGAAGGAAATTATAAATTTATTAAAAATTTGCTTAATTATAAGAGACTGCAAAACGGCTTGTACGATTGCTTTTTTTTTTCTAGGAGCGCTACCTGAAATAATTGGCAACAACTGTAGAGCTTGTGACCCCAAGCAGAAGTCCAACGCAAGAAGAATGGCAAATATTATTCGAGAGAGATATCCAGAAGTGTGGGACGCCCTAGTAAAAAAATACTCCAATGCTTAATACCTTAATATTGTACTAAATAATGTTAACTTATTTAATTATTAAAAAAATCGATGAATTTGTGTTTATTTTTTTCTTTATTTAAGGTTAGTATATTTACTATAAGTGAGCACAATAAGTCTTACCCCCCTATCTAACTCATTACTGGAGTCTTGTTAGGAAAATCGCCGAGACACGTCGATTTTTGTTTTCTACAATGTACAATTTTGTATGAATAGTTTACCCTTAATTTCATCCCTTACTGGAGGGGAGCAACCCTTTCGAAAAATTTAAATGGCATGGGGTGGTGTGTGATAGCTCATTTGAAAGGGAGTTTTATTCTCTATTCAACCGTGTAAAAAAATTTGAAATTTGCTTCATTAATTCTCGACTAATTGTTGTTTTAGAATAACGGAAATTAACGTAGCGCACTCATCCTTAGAATTAAAATTCGGCCCTGCATGATTTCGGTTTTGGTTCAGACGTGAAGTAAGACTTTTTGCCATTAGAAGGTCACTGTTAGTTTAGTTGCTTTCCTATTTTGTGAGGTTTTGTTATTTTTAAACATTAATAAATCAACACGTAATGAAGCAAATTTCAATTTTTTTTGCACGGTTGAATAGAGAATAAAACCCCCTTTCAAATGAGCTATCACTCACCACCCCATGCCATTTACATTTTTCGAAAGGGTTGCTCCCCTCCAGTAAGGGATGAAATGAAGAGTAAACTAATCATACAAAAATGTACATTGTAGAAATCAAAAATCGACCTGTCTTGGCAATTTTCCTAACAAGACTCCAGTAATGAGTTAGATAGGGGGGTAAGACTTATGGTGCTCACTGTATAAGAGGTTTGCATCCGATATTTTCTCGAACCCTGAGATGTTCCTGCCAAAGATAGGAATTTTTATGAACTCGGACCTACCGATTTATGTCTCCTTCTAAAAGTGCGTATAAATATAACCGTCGTCCCAACAACGAGCCAAAATAATAAAAAAAGTTTTTCATATGCCGCCAACTTACGTAGACAGTTGTTGGCATACGGATAAAGCGTTTTTATTACTAATTTTAGGAAAAAAAAATATTTTTCATAAAAAGTTGAGCATGCTTTAACACCTAAAATACAACCATCAGATATCAAATTTTATCAGTCGTATACGAGGTTTGTTAAAAATAAACTCTTCAGCAAAATTCATATTATTTGACATACCTCATATATTATTTTACAAATTTGACTGTGGAATTGTAGGTTTTAGACCATGCAGAACTTTTTATGAATAATGACTTTTCGTAAAGTTAATAACAAAAAAATGTCCCATATGCTGCCAACTTATATAAGTGGACACACTGCATTCTGACATAAGACAAATCTAAAAAACACATCGATCTATTAAGCTCAATTACTCGGAAACGGCTCGTCTAACGAAAATTTTCAATCAGACCTTTTTTTGTAAAGAATTTAATTTTATATAAAAATGAGTGAAAAGGAATTTTTTTCACTTTAATATTTTGACAGTTCGCACGTAAAAATCAAAAATAGCGATGATAGACCTAGAGATGGGCAATAAATCGCGAACTGCTAAAGATTCACTGCGAATGAAAAATCGCAATCGCAATCTGCTATTATAAAATAAACTGCGAATAGCGCGATCGCGACTACAAACCGTCATTGAGCGAACAACAGAACAGTTCTTTATACGCATTAACCGAAAAGTAAAATGTAAACGACCGCGTTCACGTCTTCAATCACGTTTGCTGACTTTGCTCATTGCTGAGCTAGGTATGTCTACTGTGATCGCAACTTCGCGTTTTTCATCGCGTCGAGTCTATTCATTGGTCGATTGGCAGCTATTTTGACTGTAGTATTTACTATATACACTAATGTTTTATTATATTTTAATTTTCTTACAGAATAATATAACTTATTAAAATATTATACCCAGACTCGACACTCAGCAGATCGCTGCATTAATGTTCAATTTGCCATAACGCTATATGTAATGTGCAAGGCAGCGAAATCATGACGTCATTCGCAGTTAGCAGTCGCAGTTTATATTCACAGTAACAACTGCGAAAGAATATTCGCGACTAAGTTCATCTCTAGATAGACCTCTTAAAATTAATATTAAGGCCTCAAATGTTCACGAATTTTTTTTTTGTCATTCTGAATGACATTCTCGATATAATTTTCATTCTCTTGTATGCTCCTCTACTATATTTAATGTATCAGTGTCCTTAGTTTTTTTTTTTTGTATATTGCCGGCTGGCTTTAAAGTCACACTATATCTCTTGCTCCTACTATACCTATTTTTTACGCCGAATATCGTACATTTAGTTTTCCGAATATTAATTTTTAACAAATTTGCACAAGCTAGATTGTCACAAATTAAGTTTTTCAGAAAAAAGTTTCGGAGTTATTTTTATTTTATTTGGGTAACTGTGTCACATTTTATTTTAAAACATTTTTTAAAATATTTTATTTTATATGATAACATTTCATTTGGAGTTGGAACTATTTCTTTTGAAAAAAAAAGTTTAACTATTGTTTCCATGTGATTTTTTCAGTTGTGTCACTTTTCTTCTTAATAAATGCCTAATTTATTAAATAAGGGACAAACTCATAAAAAGTAGTGTGTGATCACAGCCATAATTTATTATTAGAGAAACAGAGTGATGTTCTAGAAATAATCTTCTAATATTTAGGTACATTTTTATAACTTTTATCTTAAAAATTTCCAGTTCTGTTTGTTTATAAATTTACTTCCTTTTTTATTTCAAGAATTGTTCTGCCATATTCCATGTGTTTCCAATTCAAGGCTTGTTATCCCGGTTACGCCTCGATTTTTTAGAATACTTTCTTTATATTGTATTCAAGTGACATTTGAGACCTATTTATTGGATAGAAATATTTTGACACTTGTGAAATCATTAATGTCAATCATGGCACACTAGTTTATCGAATAAAAAAAAACAACTTTTAATAATTTTTTGTGTATTTACCAAACTAATTAAAAAACTAAAAATGCGAATTTTGTCATGAAATTTGGTATGTAGGGTTAGAATAATATTCGGAACAACTTTTTCAAATAACTTTTTCTGATATCTCTAACGCGAAGAAAAATATCGAAAATTGATCCTGTTTGTGGATTCGCAGAAGGCCGCATTTAAAATTTAAATTTCAGTTGAGTATCTTGAAAAATGGCAACCATCACCATGTATAACTGTGCAAAATTTCAAATCTGTATTTATTTAGATAGCCAAAATATAGGGGTGTCTTCATCTTAAATGCGACACACTGTATAAAAAAAAACAATTTTCCAGTTGATAACATTATTTATTTTCATTACACTCCATATCACCTCTTTCATATTTCTCTAACACAGCCCTAACCAAAATACACTTGGTCAAATGACAAAGGCAATACTCAGGATGCTCAACCTCGTCTGGATCCAACATCGTAACCTCGATAATATACCTCCTACTATTTTCCTCGGACCTCTTCAACAAAAGATCGTACGCCATTGGAACTCCCTCTTCTACTTCTATGCTAGACGGTAAAACAATGGTTGTCTGTTTCCAATGGGTTAAAAGCTCGCCCGGTTCTGTAGACAGGGTTATTGGTTCCACTGTAGTTGATGGGAATGTGCAGGAAAACCAGAGACATATACCTTCATATCTTCCTTTTTTATTTGCCACTACTAAATGTCTTATTTGAATTTTATCCAACTCATCCAGGGTTACTTCCCTCAAATCCAGCCACAGTACATTTTCCGGATCCGACAGGACACACCCTGGATCTACCGGTTCACAAATCGGTTTTTGAGAAGCATTTTGGCGTAATTTGGAACCTAGATGGGTCATCGAGACACCATTTACGTTTTCCCAAAACGAATACATTGATGGTACGCTACAACAGAAATTTCGGTTCAAAGTTTCTCAGACTTATATATTCCAATGACTAGGTTGGAGATTGGGGGATCAAAGAAATGTAAACCTGCAAAACAAAGGAAGCATTCTTCGTCTCACTCCCCTTGATATTTACATTAGGAAAGCTGCTCTGAAGACAATAAAACGACTCTGCATTATTGGACTAGAAGTTGACGTAAGATGCGATAGAGCAGATATCGCTTTTACCAACTGCTTCAAGCAAACATGAACTCCATTTCACCACGATATGTCTTTCACAATATCTACAAAGTGTAACAAAAAAATTAAAAGAGCTGGAAGTGGTAGGTACGATGGTTCTAAAACAAAACAAGGAATATATTTCAAATCCTTAACACCAAACATAAAATGGAGTGTTAGCAATAGTGCCAGTGTCAGAGTGAGCTCACGGAGATTCTCATAGAAGCAAAAGAAACAATATCACTGGAAGGAACATGCTCATCTTTAGACAGATAGCAGACAAGCACTACTCATCCTGGATAGATCAGAATTATTCTTAGGGTTAGTATTAGAATGTCACTTGGCTGACGTATTCATTAATGTGGTGACCTTAAGACGGATCAAAGGCCACATCACACTGAAAAGTAACCGTCTTGACAATTCACTAGCTAAGAAGGAAGCCAACCAAATACTTTGTGAACCTGGGCCCTACCATTGGAGCCCAGTATAAATAATACAGTAACGAAAGTTCATTGTTTATGAGGGTTACATATTTTTCTGCGCATGTCCGTAAATAAGTGGCAAATACGTCAAAGTGGCATATGTATATTGTCAATGGATTAATGGTGGTTGACTGTTTTGATTATTTGACTTTATAGTAATGCACATTTTAATACATTTTTATTATATTTAGACTTAGTTTTTTTTTTTATTTATTGTGTGATATTTTATTCAAAGAGACAAAAGGACAGGATATTTTGAAATTTCTTTTTTCATTGTAGAAATAAGCGGCAAAAACGTCAACTGTCAATAAAAATCTGACCACTCAGACATCAAAGGAGCCGACTCAAGCTGTCGCTACTGTATAAATAATTATACTGGGATTGGCGTAACAACGTCGGTTATGATAATTCTAATAAGAGAAGATTCGCATTGTAAAATTCGTGGATAGGTGGGATGAAACAAGGAAC